GCACAGCCGGATCCGAGCCAGAGGCACCTGTTCCTAAGTGCCAGCGCACACGTGAGCAGCTGTCACGCTGGACCTGAGAGTCCTTGGCTGTCCCCACACCCGGCAGAGCGGCCGGGGACAGGCGCGATGCTCTGCTCGGATGCCGCCATCTGAGCGCTGAGGCGTCTCCCCTGTTGTCCTCAGACTGCGCCAAGCTGTGGGAGCAGAACATGGCATTGACTTCACGACTGAATGCACCCAATATCCGGCCGGAGACGCAGCTTCTAACGCTCATCTGTGCAGAGTTATTAGCTGATGGTGGCCGGGCTCCAAGAGGACATGGGCTGGGTTCCCCCTGCGCTGTCCCTGCAGGGATCAGAGAGACTGCTGGGCCTGCACCTACCACCAGCCTATTGTCAGCGCAGAGAACCCCAGAGGCCAGGCCAGCTAGTCCACGGAGAGAGTGTCTCTGCCGAGTGGTGGCAGCTAAGAGGCTGGGTGCTCCATAAGCCCCCTGCCCACTGGCGCAGGGGGCCGGTGAGGGCGGCGCACTGCTGCCCACTCGCTCATCCACTAGCGCACTCTGCAGCCACTGTTTCCCCAAATAAAATCTAATGCTTCTGACCTGTCCCTGAGGGCCCTTCAGGGAGGAATGAAGGGGACGGGAGGAATCAGGAGAAGGGGCCTGGGCCTAGGTGTCTTCTGCGAGTGGCAGTCAGCACTGGGAGGCTATTGAGGAGTTCGACTGCGCGGGAGGGCACGAGCCCTGTCCTGCTCCCTGTCTGCACGCCAGGGCCCTGTGTTGTACAACCAGAGGTGGTGTCTGCGTCTGGTCGCTCGCTTAGGCCCACAGGCTTTCACAGGACACAGGGCCATTGCCCAAGGCCTGTGTCTCGGTGGCTGCCCAGGGAGATGTGCCTTCCCTCCAGGAGCACGCCGAGGGCAGGGTCTCGCCCTGTTCCGGCTGTGTCCCTGCAGCCTCGGGACCCAGGGACCCTGCACAGAGAAGGCACGACAGACGTCTGGGGAATGAAGGAGTGATGGTGGCCTGTGTTAGCTGCGTCCAGGTTTCCTTTACTTTGAAGGTATTTGTAACGGGCAAGTGGTGGGTGCCGAGTGCCTCACATCCTGTGCCACTGCCACTCCTGCCCCCTGCCACCCCTCTGGCCATTTCTGTGAGTCATCTGTCCTGAGGCTGTTCAACTGTTTCTTCATTGCAGTCTGGGCACCTCCATCACATCTCATCCATGGAAAAGGACTTTGCTTTCTCACGTCTCCCTGCCCCTCGCCCCAGTGACCTGGGTCTGCATGTGAGGCTGGCCGTGTGCACAGTGGCGCAAGGTGCAGACCTGGTCCAGGAGCTGCCCTGCGTTTACTGGCCTCATTTTCTCTGCCTCTGGGCACTGTCTCTGGCCACAGTGGCTGTCACCTGGTTGCCTCTCTGAAAGCAGGTCTGAGGATGGGGACCTAAGCTTCAGGATGCAGGGTTTCCTAAATTCCCGTTTGGAGCCTAATTTCCAGAGTTCCTGTGTCTAGGGGGCAGGGCTCCCCAGGGGGCAGCAGCTGCCCTGTCCCCACCCCCGACAAGGTCCCCACCCTGCCCGCCCCTGGAAAGCTCTCTCAGTCCTCCCTTGCCCTTCGAGGAGGCTCATGCTTTTTTCATTCCTTTTCTGTTGTAGTGAGGCCTCAGCAGGAGCCATGGGCACACAGGGTCACAAGGGTCTGGGAAAACCAGGGGAGAGCATCATGCTCGCTCAGGACTAGAAATCTGTCTTGGAAAGCACCTCGGCTTCAGCAGATACAAGCAGGGCCAGCGGCACAGCTCTGCCTTCCCCTCCTGCTGGGCCACCTGCCCTGCCCTGCCCTGCCCTGCCCTGCAGGATGCAGAAAGCCACTGTGGCCCTCACTGAGGCCTGGGCCTTGCCGCTCCCCTTGCCCTGCCTCCGGGGGTGCCGGCCACTGAGATGAGGACCCTCAGGGTCACCAGGGAGAGGCCCAAAGAGGAGCACTGCCTGCCCGCCTGCCCTCCTGGACTCGGGAAGCTGAGGTTCTGCACGCTGAGGGGTCAGCCGGGGTGGGAAGAGGACAGAAGGCAGAGGGCTGCTCTCCTGCAGCTCAGCTCTGAGCCGGGTCTGCTGGACTTTAAAGATTGCCCAGCAGTGAAATTGCATTTAAAGATCATCGACTTGGTCCTGTTTAAATTTGGTGTGACTTTGGGGGTCACAGATCCCTTTTTAGTCCATTGCAGTTCCCACAGTGTTACCCCTCCATCCTCTCATCCAATTCCACCTTTCTTCCCTTCTTTCTTTCTCTTTTGGATGACATTTTGTGCCTCTCAGATTTGTCTGACAAACTTCAAACTGGGGCACTAGCTCTGGACACAATGCCCATTTCCCTGGGGCAGCATCCTCCCTTCCGCCCACAGCCTAGTCCCAGGCTCTCAGGAGCCCTCGGGGGACGTGCCTCCAGACATCATTTTGCTCCCCATTGAGAGAGGGGCACTGAGTTGGTCTTCATGAGGGCACAGTGCTGCAGGGACCACCTCATGTGCCGCTGCCCATGGTGCCCAAGGGAGGACCCAGCAGAGTGGGCGAGTGGAGTCCTGGCCCCCCTGACTGCTAAGTGTCGGGGGTGGGTGCATCACCCTGTCTCTGAAGCCCGTTTTCGTGTCTACATAGTGGATGTGTGAGCACCCCATGCTCTAACAAGGACATGGGGTGGCTACAAGGACATGGGGTGCTCCAGTAAATGTTGGTGGAAAGATTCTTTGTACCCTCAAGCTCAGTCATGAGGGTCAGGCTGGGATAGGGGATGCAGGGAGGTAACGGCCAGCCACATGGGTCCCCACGGCTCAGGGCTCCAGAGTCCCTGCTGAGCAAGCCCCCCTCCCTCATCATGGCCCTGACTCCCCAAAGGACATGTTGGTTAGCTGGGCCTTTTCTGGAAGGATCAGGGGTGGCCTGCTGGGCACCCTGAGAGCTGAGGGTCTTTATTCAAGGCTGGAAAGGGCCCTCGCCCCACACGAGCTGTTCTGGGCACCTCCAGAGTCACACCAGGGCACCTGCAGCCAGTGCCAGCCTGAGGGGCCCAGGCAGGAGGACGCTGCAGGCCGTCTGGTCCTGGGCTGACCCTCGGCCCCTCCAGCCTGGCCACAGCCCCTCCTGCATCTGGAGAACTGGCAGGTGCCCCGCTGGGAGCCAGGTGGCCCAGGGAATATGGAAGGAATGAGATGTCAGCTCCTCCGAGAGGCTCCCTTGGGTTGTGAGCTGGGCCACCCTCCTCTGGGGCCTCTGCCCTGCTTACAGCCATGCAGCCCCCAATCTCATGGAAGTGGCCCCACTTATCTGCCAGATGTTTGTTTATGCGTCTCCTAGCAGCCAGCCTGGCACACAGTAGGTGCTCAATAAACATCCGCAGCAGGGGGTTGGGTGGGTGAAGGGCTTTGTCTCTGGCCCAGTGTGGGATTCAGGAGAAAAGCCCCCTGGTGTGTGTGTTTGCTGCTGGGCCAGGCCCAATGGGCTGGGTGACTTCCTTCTCTCCTCCTCCATCCCCTTGCGGAGCAGCACTTTCCAGAGATTGAAGGCAAAATTGCTTGAAAGCCTGTGCTTTTATCCTCCAATTTGTAGCCATTTAGCAGGGCTGGGCGGAGGGGCAGTGAGGGCTCTGGCTGTGCTGTCTGCAGGGAGGTGCCTGCCGCCGCTGCTGCTGCAGAGAACGGAGAACGAGTCCTTTGTCCTCACTTGGACGGCCCTGGGCTGAGGGACAGGCACCTGCAGGGGCTCAGGCTGGGTCCTGTGGGGCCAGCAGGGTGGCCAATGGCCAGTGTGCAGGCAGCACTCAGCCTCCAGATCTACCTGCAGGGGTTTCCCTGAGCTCTGGGCCCCGCACACGGTGGTGTCCGCTGTCTCTGCTCATGCAGCACCCAGCCTCTAGGGCAGTGATGGCGAACCTTTTGAACTCGGCATGTCAGCATTTTGAAAAAACCTAACTTAACTCTGGTGCCGTGTCACATATAGAAATTTTTTGATATTTGCAACCATAGTTGACAGGCGTGTCATAGGTTCGTCATCACTGCTCTAGGGAGCCCCTTTCTCTGGTCACTTGGGAGGGGCCTGCCTAGAGACCAGAGGGGTCTTCATGGTACACGGAGAGTGTGTGAGGGGGCGGGTGCCAGCGGGAGGAGTTCCCCGGGTTCCTGGGAAATAAAGGTGTCGTCAGCTGGGGTGGCACGGCTGCGGCTGTCTTCACGTCTCCGGGCGGCTCTCTCTGCAGAGCGGGACTCGATGTCGGCACTGGCCTGCCTCTACCGTGGAGAGGCCCTGGGACCCACGCCCAGCTGTCACCGTCTCTGTGTGGGAAGTGAGGTGTGGGACCGTGGGGACAGAGGAGCGGCTGTCTGGGAGGGGGAGGGGAAGGGAGGGCCCTTGTGGCTCCCACCCTGGAGTCTGGATCTCACGAGTTGGGCTGCCCTGGCCCCTTTTCTGGGGTGAAACCGAGGTCTGCTGCTCAACGCGGAGCCCAGGGCGCATGCAGGTCCTTCTCTCCATTGTCACCCCCAGTCCTGCCTCCAGGCCTTTGGGCAGGATGGTTTCTCTCCCTGAGATGCCTCCCCTCCCTCTGCCCCCCCCCAACACACACACCCTCCCTGCCCCTCAGCTCCACCCCAGGAGCCCGGGAAGCTTCCCAGATGGAAGTCATGGCCAAGAAAGATGAGAACCTCATCCTGGGGGCAGGCAGGCTGTGGCAGGTGGGGCTTGGGGTGTATTCTCAAGGCTGGAATGAGTCCCCTAGACAGTGATGGGGTGCAGCAGGGGGGCACTGCTGGGCACCTGCCCCTTACTAAGATTAAACCCTGGTTTGCCAGCCAGGCTGCTTTCTCCCCACTGCAGTCCCCCACTGGGAGGAGAACACTGAGGCCAGGGGAGGGGCAGGCCTGGGTCTCACACCCAGAGTGGCCTGTGTCTCCCTAGCACCCCACTGCAGCCCCCCCGCCCCCCGCCCACAAAGTCCTCAGGAATCAGCACCAATAAAAAAATACACTTTACTGTGGACCTCAGAGTCTACAGGGCCGGCTCAACAGGTCCAGGGGACATGGAACATGCAGGGTGCCACGGGTGCACGGAATGTGGCGAAGCGGACCCTCCACTGGGCACCCGGGCCTGGTCCCTCTGCCTGCCCTGCAAGCCTCAGGACCCTCGGGGCAGGGCCGGGGCCCTCGGACCGTCAGCCCTAGGAAACACGGGTTGAGCAGAGGAAGTGGGGTGGCAGCCTGCTGACAGCAGGTATCTGGGCTTTGACCACTTTCAGAGCCACCAGTCCGGCCCAGCATCCGAGCCAGGGGCAGGGTGGGCAGAAGTGGCTGGTGCAGCTCAGCCGGAAACAGCAGCACGAGGAGAGGGCGTGGGAGCCCACACCTGCCAATCCTGCCCTGAGCTCCTCTGCAATCTTGTCTCTCTTGATTAAACATCCAAGGAACATCGAGTTCACAGATGTGTTTTCCTCTTCTTTGTCTTCCTGCAACACCCAGAATGGAAAAGCGGAGAACAGCAGCAAGCTGTTGGCACTTTGGGGGCAGAGAGAGTTGGAGGAAAGAGGGCTGAAGGAGTCGGGCCGGGCTTAAGAAGGGGCAGATGGCTGCAGAGCCGGGAGCCCAGGCTGGTCTGGAGCAAGGGAAGGTGTGCAGGTGTGTGCAAGCGTGCGCGCACATGCAGGAGCAAACTGCTGGGTAGAAAGCATGGAGCACACGCCACGCGCTTGCTTTGGGAAGAACACCAAGCAGTAACTGTGCAAACGGTGGACCCACTGGTTGCCACACTGTCTGTGGGGAGGTGGACATTGTGGCTAAGACCCCCAGATTGTCCCTCCTGGGGAAGAGTTAGGATTTGGGTGGCAGGGCTAGCCACTCACATTCCAGTTCAGGCAGTAGGGTCCTGAGCCAGCTCACCAAGCTGCCTCCACGGCAGGCAGGTGGTCTAAGAGAGGCCACATGGCAAAAGTGTGGGCCGAAGAGGAGGCGGCGGCTGCCCAGAAACCACGGTGTGGGCAGAGGGGCCTGGGTCGCCAGCTCACTTCCAGCAGTGCTCCAGAGAGCTGTGAGGCTGGACCTTGAGCCTGTGGGGGCACAGCAGCTTGGTGAAGGCCCGGCGAAAGCTGTAATGGCACAGTGGATAGAGGATCGGGTTGACTGCTGAGTTGGCCCACAGTAGCCAGAAGGATGCCTCATACCAGTAGTCGGGGACGCAGTGGCCGTGGCAGGCAGCCCGGATGATCATCAGGAGGGTGTATGGGGCCCAGCAGAGTCCAAAGATGCTCACAATGATGGCCAGCGACTTGGCCACCTTCTTGTCCCGAGACAGCCGGAAGCGCTGGGTGATGCCCTGGGACACCATCTTCATGCGCTTCTCCAGTGACGCAGAGGACGCCGACGGCTTGGAGCCCCTCTTGAGCGAGCGAGGCCGCTCTGTGCCCCGCGAGGAGCTGCCTGAGCTGGAGGTGGGCGAGTTTGCCGTGCCCCCTCCACTGCCCCCCAGGGCTACCTC